CTGCGCCACCAATCAATTAATTGAGGTCAAATAATTGCAATTAATTTCCACCCCAATAAACTTTTCGGTAGGCCTGATCTAAAATAGCAATCTGTCTAGAATTGCTGCCTGACTAAAATGACTCTCCAATTGAATTTTCACACACATGATTCTAATCGAGTGCCACTTTAAGTATCTAAAGTAATAGCTTTACATAAATGTATATACATACATACGTACATACACATATGCATACCTATATGCTGACAAACAAAAAGACAAATATTTACTATGATCATAAATAAATCGTCTACAAAATTATGTAAAAATCTACTTGAAATTTGAAAAAAAACTATGCACGTTTAATGTATATGTAAGAATTGGAGGTTTTCGGATACAAATGGTGCTGAATACTAAATTTTATTAAATCACTTTAAAAAGATACATAGCATACATCAACATGATCGATGTATAATTGAAATATATAACATATATCAACACAATTAATATGTGATTATAACAACTACATATATCATATATGTCAGTGCAACTGACATATAATTGTATTAACTGATGATTTCCTGCTTAGACCATTCAAAGTTGATTCTTCGGTTAACATTACCCCTCTCGGTTAAAGTCTCCCACGAAAAATAAATAACCAATCAAAATGCCAGATAACTCTTGCCGATCACTTGATTTATATCGACCAATAAATTGGCCCATATTTGTTCATTTTTATATGTTTCATTTTACCCAAGTGATGTTAACTGAAGAATCAACTTCGAACAGCCTATGTCTATTCAAAATTAATTTTCAGTTAACATCACCTTCTCCTCTTCCTTTGATAGTTGCTGGTAAAATCCAAATATTATAAAATAATGCTTGGTCATGCTGATGTACCCTCAATGAAATTTGATTGACTGTGTTTAAAGTGTTTTTACTATGTTTAAATATTTACATATAGACACATACGATATGTATCTTTGATGATACAATCAGGTGAATTTTTGAAATTAAAAAACTCCGAATTATACTATTTAATACTTTAATACTTATATAAATATATATCAACCATATAACACATTTATTAAGCTAAAACCCAAAAGTAGAACTGATATAATCATCGTGTCGAAGCCAACTTCTCACTTTAATCCTTTTGTAGTTAAAAAATTTATCTCGTTATATGAAAATTTATCTCTTATAAAAATATATTTAAAATCAAATAATAATTTGCCTTACATTAAATATCTATCATAGCTACGTCAAAAATTTAAGCTAGTGTAAAAGTTGCCCTAGTGAATACATAACCCGTGCATAATTTACTTGATTACCATCTAATTATGCAATTGTGCGAATTTTATTTTTATTTCAAATATATGTAGCATATACGTATAATATTGATTGCATAAATAAATAATACAAATATGACATAATTACTGTATATGTTTAAATTGTTTACCTCATTACATAAAAAATTAATGTTTATCTTACTGAATAATGTTTTAATTCGAAGCAAATATAAATTGTATATAAATTAAGAAATTTTTCTTTTTAGTTATTTTTTTTTTTTTTTGCAACTATAATAAAAAAATAAAAAAATAAAAAATAAATAACAATATAATAATGCCATGTTATGGAAGTACTATGTGAGAATAAAATATATAAAGAAACACAAAAAAGAAGATACTAACTTTACAAGAGTATGGGCTATTGGTGGATATCCAGTAGAATGAGAAAATTATGATATCGAAATAGTTTTATTTGTGCTGACCAATACAAATGAAAGAGATCCAGAAACTCAAGCATTTTTGAAAAGGATAATTTTTATTCTGTTAGAAGTAAAATTGTATCTGGTTATTATGGAAAGGATAAAAAAGTGAAGGTATTTTACAAAATGTTTGTTTTATTTGATTTATATTAGGATTTGTAGTAAAATTTAATTAAATTAACATTCTTAAAAAATTTTTAGATGACGGTTTCAACTTCAACACATTTAGCTATTCTGGATAAACACTGTACGGCCCCAGGAATCATTAATTTTTGTAGTTAGGCAAATGGAAATTTTCAACAATGAATTTTATGTGTATACTACCGAAATTAATTTCATCAATACACACTTTGAGAGTAAAAAAAATCTTTTGATAATATAACTCAAGCAACTTCGGCACCTAAAAATTTAAACTCTTTGTTATGCATCAAAATATCCCAGAAAAAGAAAACGATACTTTGAAATCAGTAGATTCTAGTGACAATTTTAAAACAATTTCACTATCTGTATCTTATTCATCAAAATGCATTCGAGTTGAAGATAATGATATAGAACAAACAAGTTATGAATCTAATATAGAAAAAGACAATTCAAATAATCAAAATCATGAAAAAAATGAAGATTTAACCAAAAATAATAAGTATCAAAAAATTATACAAAATAACAAAAAAGGTAAAGAAAGTGTAAACCGATCTTTACAAAGTTCTTTGAGATCTCGAGACTTGATGAATACTAATGAAGAAGAAAAATAATTAAAACATATTGATTATTAGAATTATCAAAAAATCTTTTCTAATAATGCTATTCTAACAAACATTTCTACTAAAAATTCATTACTTCAAATAATACTATTGTTACTGTAATATTGTATTATATAAATAATATATATATATCTATAATATATAATATATATATATATATATATATATATATATATATATATATCCTAATATTATAAAATAAATATTTACATTTTATATTGCAAAATAAAATATTATACGTAATTGTTAATATGAGAACTTAAAAAAAAGTTTCACACAGTCACAAAAAGAATCAATATTACTATTATGCAATAATGCTTATCCAAAAAAGGTTACGATTACAAATATCGATAAAATTGCTAACTTAAAAAAGTGAAACTTGCATTATTAAACAAATATTACAATACTATCTCTTACAGTAAATCTTTCAAAAGTAAAATAACAATAAAACCAATCTTCACTGCAATAGTAAAATACGTAATTCTATTAATTATTAAGAAAAACCCCTATGTTGAAGACAAATTCTTATATTGTCTGGTGCAAAAAGATTTGTACCTCAGAAAGATGCTAATAAAAAAGTTTTTATAATAAAGTAGACTCTTTTTTTTATTTGAATCATATTATTACATATTCGGAAATATGAAAATATAAAATTTATTTTAAATTTGTTTATTATTATCAGAATCGTCATATTCTTCGAATTCATCATCTATTAATTGCACATCATCATCTATCTCAAAATATTCCCTGGCATTTTTAAGCATTTTTCTTCAAAATCTAAGTACAACCTGTGAATTAATTTTGTTTTTAAATGTACCTAGAAGTGCATTTCGAACAGATAAGAGATTTGGGTACGGTTCTGACCTTGCAACTTCACCTTTTACGACTGCCCAAACACCTTCAATTGGCTGAAGTTCGCAATGGTAGAGAGGGGTAAAAAAAACTTGATGTTCATACTGTTTTGCAATTTCAACAGTAGAAAATGGTACCTTTTCTTTATTTATTTGAACAAGCTCCAAAAGTTCCGGTTTTCGTAGCTCATCAGAGAAAGCAGTATTGCGAGTTTTTAACCAGTCAGCTATTTTTTCTTTTTTTGTTCTTGATATCAGGATATTTTCAACTCACCATTTATGATAGCTAGCCCCATCCATATGAATGTTTACTGGCCCATATTTTTCAAGAAGTGAATTACACAGAGTAAAATTGCCGTAGTAATCTGCTTGATTAGGAGTGATGTTTGCATCCTTAACAACTTCAGGCACATCATTTCATTCTTCAGCATTGTTCCTTATTCGCCCTTGGTTTCCTGGGGGTTTTATTGTCGGATCCCAAATATGAACAGAGTTTGGAACCAGTTCACCATGTAGCTTGTTAGTGGACCTATTACAGAACACGATAATTGCCTCAAAAATTACAACTAGTGGTCCATGCCCGGGCACCAAAACAACACCTTGATAAGGGACCCATATATTGCATGAAGTGTGATGTAGGTGGCAATATGACTCATCAAGAAAGACTTTCGGATGACGGGGAACATCATTTCTGCCTTCCAAGTTTGCAAAACATAAGCGAAGATAACGACAACGAAATACAACATTATTCGGCGATTCATGGAGAATATTTCTCTGTTTTCCCTTGCCAAAGAAATAGCCCAAGCGATGCAGTATTTGAAGAACCTTCTATTTAAAAAATTTGTATCCTTTTTCAAAAAGGAATTGGCACAAAATATGTGCAGAAATTTGCTCTTCCGCTTTGT